ACCAGGGAGAGGAGTTCCGGTCCCAATTCACCCACAGGGAGCCCAAGCTGGGTCTATGTCTCTCAGCCTCTGAGTCTGCACCGTTCTCCTGGGAACACTGTGCCAGCAGCACCTGGGAGAGTTGGCGGGTAGGGAGCTCACAGTCTAGTTCCCCTGAGTCAGCTGTAGGGTCCCAAAAGGGAAGGTTTCGTTCCCTGGAGGTGCCTCTGGCTGGTGGCTGTATTGTCTCTCTGGGTAGCCGTGGGTAGGGTCGGCGGAGGGGAGGAGGAGGCAATATGGTGCCTGCCGCACGGCTCGGGTCTGCGCACACGGAGGTGCCCGGAGGAAGTTGGGAACCCAGTGTCACGTCCACCACAGGCTCACCGCTGGCTGGCGGCGGCCGTCTCTGGGCTGGTGTCCGCAGGTCTCTCCACACGCTGGGGAGCCCACCAGCAGTCCCGAATGCAGGGGAGGGGAAACAGCAAATCCACCTACCCTTGCCGCTGGTTCTCCGCCTCCAGTTCTCCTTCGCAGCCTCCCCCCGTGGAGTCTCCCGGGGTCTCAGGTACCCCTCCTTCCAGCCCTCGTCCGCTGTATGCTCGTCTTCTTGCTTCTTTTTTCTAATTTCTGCTAGAATCTGTCTTTTCTGCAGAAACAGTATGTCTGGCAGTATTTCTCGTCCGCCATCTTGCTCCACCCCCCCCCCTTTCAATTTCTAGTTGTTTTATAAATTCTTTCTTTTTCTCTTTTTGTCTTTGTGGTTTGCTGAATGTCTGTTATGTTGCCATTTAATTATATTTCTCCTTTTTATGATCATTTTATAAGGCTTGTGAATTTTATATTTTCATGTATTTTTGTGATGGTGAATATTGACTTTCTGTTTCCATGTTTAGAATTCCTTTGAACATTTTCTATAGAGACAGTCTAGTGGTAATTAATTCTCAGCATTTGCTTGTCTGAGAAAGAGTTTATTTCCCCTTCATGTTGTTTATTCTGGCAGAATATAAAATTCTTGGATGGCGGGGGGGTTTTCTTGTTTTTTTTCTTTCTTCTTGAAGAACTTTGAAAATCATATTGTCTTCTGGTCTGTAATGTTTTTGCTGAGCAGTATGATGCTAGTCTGATGGGGTTTTCCTTATAGGAGACTAGTTGCTTTTCTCTTGCTAATTTTAAGATTCTCGCTTTCACTTCACATTTAGTCATTCTGATGATCACATGGTGAAGTCCTTTTTGCAATGTATTTGTTTGAGTATTGTTGGGTCTTCCATGTCTGAATGTCTAACTCTCTTGCTAGTTCTGGGGAAAAAAAATTCATTGATTATTTTCTTAACTAGATCTTCTAAACTTTTTTATCTCTCTTCCCCCTCAGAAATACCAATTGCTTTGTGTAGTCT